GCCATTCAGAACCTGTACGGCAACTGCTTCCCATAAAGATTTGAATAGAAAGATAAAAAGTTTCCAATAGCTAATACAAAAAATCCAAACTTGAAACTAGACTGTGTCTAAGTGCAAAAGCAACATGATTGGTTTCCTTTTATCTTGATTCTTAAAGATAAAGGTCCATTATTATGCAATGTCCTGCAAGAAAATAACATAAAATTAGAATAAAACATGTTTTCCCATTGAAAATGTTCCCAATGTTGTAGATCTACTTCAACAATAGTGATCTCTTTACATGAAAATTGCTTCAAGAGCCAGCAGCAACTAGTAACTGATGCCACCTGCTTGACTACAATTGATGTTCTTCTTGAAATTAAGTTCTTACTGACTATTAAAACTTGAACAATAAGATATCATTTTGCACTAAAGTCATATATACAAGTGAACTTATCACCTACATCTTGCTGGCATTCAACCCAGACAAGAAACTGACAAACTTTGCAGTGGTTTACACGGAAATCTGACCAGTGAACCACAGACGTCCAGAAAACAGGTAACAAATGCCAGAAGACCAAAGCATAAAAACATACAACATGACTAAAACAAATAAGATAAAATAGCATGTACCAAATTCGTATATCTCGGTAATTGTGATTAAATGTACAAGAAGCATTATCTACCAAGGAAATGAATGGCTTTCAAGCAAAAGACATGTACAGAGTCCATACCAGCTGTGTAAGCAAAGTGTATATGACTTGTTTGGGCAAGAACAGCCTTCTCAAGGGGCGGAAGCGCAGCTTCAATCTTTTGCACACGAATCATCAATTTATGACTTCTAGAAGCTGTGCTCATTACTTGCTCTTGTAATCCATGAAAAACCTCTGCTGCAAATCTACAACAGAACAACCAAGCCACGCCACTTACAGTTTAAATAAACAATAACAAAAAAAGTAAGCAATTACAAAGCTTAACGGTCCATTAATCAAACTCTTGAGCTTTCAATTGTTACCACTCCTTTAAACTTCCTTAGCATTCAACCAAATAGAAGAAATAATTTGAAATTGTAAAAATTATAAACCAAATAAAAGAGTAAACATACTCAGCAAGATCGCCTAATTGCCGCAAGATCCCGACGAGACCAGCGACGGCAACGCCATCGAGGACAGCCTTAGGATCTTCTCTATTAGCTTCCTTGTAAAGCTCCGGTTGACCAAGCCCGTACTCATCCCTCACCTGAGCTCTAACCAGAGGCATTTTCAATTTTTCTCCAAAAAATTCAGAGAAAATAGAGAAAAGCAGAAGATTTATTCACAAACAGCACCCGCATAGATATATACCACTACTACTACTACTCTGAATGAATTAAATGAAATGAATGAAGGAATGAAATAACATAATTAATTAATTAAGTATTTTTTTATTTTATTATTCTGTTTTTGCTAAAGAAGGGAAAAAAGAGTAGGTAGAGAGATTGGAGCAGCTTAACTGCCGAGAGAGAAAGGCAGAAAGAAGGGGAAGGAGAGGACATTGCCAACACCGCAAGCCATTCCCCCGAAATCATTTTGTAACTATACTTCGGCAAGGAGGATTTTGTAGTTTGCAAAGACGGAATTGACCTTGCACTTCCAAGAGAATGGCTCGGTATGTCCCTTGGGCGGCGAAATTACGGATTAGGGCTTTCCTTCGCTGTGTGGTTCCGAGGCTTGACTGAAGGAAACGTGGCGACGACCGCGACATTTTGGAATGCCCTTTTTCTAATTTAATTGCTTCTTTCTCTATCGTAATTACAGAAACAAAGGGGGAAAGTGACTTCTCTGTGGAAACACATTAATTGGCTCCTTTTTCACCCCCACCCATTGGTCATTTCAAGCTATATTTGAATTACGATGAAATGTAGGTTTAGATACAAAAGAATTCTGGTCATATGAATCATTTGGTCCTTGATTCTAAATCTTTCGTTGATCTTATAAAGCGAAACACATGGAATGGGAAAGGGCAACAAGTCGTTTGTTTGATAATCCTTGTCACGTTCCATTTGTCCACGTCTGCAATTAGGAATCCACAAGGTTAAACCAGGATTAAAAGGCAAATCTGATTTTTTTTTTTCGATTTGGGGTTTCTTTTCTTGCTGAAACCGACGGGTGTTCACCGCGTCAATGAAGAAAAGAAATTAAGGGCGTGAAACGAATTGCACCAAAATTTCAAAAGTTCGTTGGTTGACCTTAATGCAAGCCCAAATCTTAAGCAAGGATTACTAATTCCACGATGGGATTATGGTGTGGGGGTGGGAGGGAAAGGTTTAACCAACCCAAGGAGCTTGCCCCCAACCAATCACGTCTTCGCACCTGCCTTGGAAAAGTAACAAAATAACGGCAAGAAATTCTTTCCCACATTGGACTATATGACTTGGTCATCATCTAGAAGCCCTTGATAGTAGGGTATAATTTCTGAAACAAAATCCAATGTTTCATAAATCCTCCAAAATAGGGCGACGATCAGTGACCAAACACGTTAGATTCCTCCAAATATATTTAGGTAAACAAAGAAGATGAGCAATTTTTGTCGGGTGAAGGGAGTTGACCACTGCTCCATGTGCAAGGTGCCCAGTAGCTCTGGCTTGGCTCACTGGTCTAGACTATTGGCTAGCTTTCACTCCACCCCAAAAACCAATATTGAATTCAATGTCAATTTGATAATCAAAAATTGGTAATTGTATAAAACGATGTTATAATTGAAAAGTATAAAAGGAAAGAAAGCGCCCCATAATTGTTCATAACATTTTTTTTATGTGACATTATTAAAGAAAACTGGTATTAATTACTCTTACCTAGTATATACCATGCTTTTGGAAATACTGTATATCTAGATTGTACAAGTTTTTTTTTTTTTTTGGATTGTTATCAAGAATGATTTTTATCATTAATGGTCTGTTTCTTTCTGTGTAATAATTTCTTCTCGTTGGGGGAGATTCTTATTTGGTTACCAGTTGCAAGACATTTACCTGGATTTCATACCATGGGGGTAAGTCTTAAATAGGATGAAAAATATTCCTATAATTAGCCAACTTGGTGCGTGGCAGAGCAAGTACGTTGTTGGATCAAAACACATTTCCAGACATCTACCCCTCCATTATTAAAGCATTTTGCCTACCATTAAGATAATCTATGGGCAAACCAAGTCCATCATGAGATTCGATCCGAATTCTTCTTCTTTTTCTTTCTTTTCCGAAGAAAATGCTTTGATTTCGAAAACCTTCAGATGAAGATAAATTCATAATCACTAGGACGACTCAGTGTTATTTATTAATTTATTTGTGTAGTCTTAATTAAATAATTAATACGTACTCAACTACTTTAGCAGGTAACACAAGAAGAGAGAATATTTTCGATGTACTCAAATCAAAGTCGTCAATATTTCCAGGACTCCCCTTTACACTTTCCACCGTCACATTGTTGGCATCCTCAAATTCTGCTAGGCTGTAATCATTAAGCAAATTGCACTACTTAACAAACTGCTTAATGCTCTCAGCCATATTCTCAGCTGTGGGGATGGATCATGAATGGAAAAAAAACAAAAGAGAAGCAATTTGTGTCAATGATTGCGCACAACTACAGCGTTTTGAGGCAGATTTCACAAGGAATGGTCGGATAAAACCTTAGCAAAAGCCGGTCCTGAAACCCACAACAAAAGTGTCCTCATTAGAAAGGGAGCCCTCATCCTACGTAATGCAACCTTGTCCTATCTTTCATACTATGTAGCCCTTGTACCTCACCTCCATATTCACTATCACATTTATATTGGCCTGTCATTCTCGCCAATGGTTATTATTTAGAGAAAATGACAGAAAAAGCCATTTTACTTAACGAAGTTTTCTAGTTTCCTCTAGGAGAGGAAGGAAAGAAACCAAAAAAAAGGGGCAAAAAGAGTGAGCCAAACGGTCTTGAAGCAATGGTGAACACGGCAAAGAAGAACGGAAGTCACATGGAAAGCAATAAGTTTGGAGATAGACATGCAGCCAATGAGGTGCAAAGCCATCTGCAGATGCAGTTCAAGGAGCAGGGTTTTTAATGCAACCTGGATTGTTCATAAATAAAATTTGTACCACAAATATTAAATATTGAAGATTTTAGATGTACAATATTACCACGTCCGACTCGAAGGTGGTTTGAAGAGTTTTTTAGCGTTGATCTAGTTGCAGCTCAGAAGTCAGACGGGCCAACCATAGTGGACTTAGGCAATGGATTGTTAGGTCTACTAGCCTGGGGCCTATGAAGATAATAAATGAGATTCTTTTGGATTCAGCTGCTCTCCTGGGTCCCCTACCTGGAAACTACTTAATCATCACTCTGTAGTAGAGCTGAGCTGCCCATGACTTGGGCGGGCTGCCGTAGATCCGTGGGTCTAATTCAATCCGCTTAGATCTTTGCTTATGGTTGCAGTATCTCTCACAAGCTTAAACTAACATTAAATATTTTCAAATTACTTCTTCATTTTTTTAGCAAATTCTAATATTTAATGGTTGAAACCTTGGAGTTATATGTCAAAAGCCAAAATTATGGTAGTAAATGCATTGTAAATTACTTTCAATTGGTAGCCTTTATTCCCTTTTTTGGATAGTCTGGGACTTATAATGGGTTGCTCAAACGGGTAGTCCCAGTCAATGGCTTAAGATTTCTAAAACTGGTTTGCCCAACGCCCTATCCATTGTTTATGACCAACTCCACCATGACTGAAAACAGCTGCCAATTCTTCAAGAACGATCAACGAGCCAAAGACAATAGAGCACATGTCCGCGCATTACTTTGCTATCCCCAAACTTGCATAGAAGGTGAAATGGGAGAGGTGGGTCAAAGTAAAATATTATCGCTCATTCAGATCATGCAGATGATCAATGATGACAGTCGACAAGCCATCGAAAGAGAACCGCACTATCGGTTTTGGCCCATAGCATTCAATCAAAGACTTTCCCTATAAATTCACCTTTGCCCAATATGTCATCCACAAAGCAACAAAAAAGCGCCCTTAAACACATCGCCACAAAATGCATTGCTCTTTCCCTTCATTTTCACTCGCATTGTTCACTCTTCTCTTTTTTATTCTTTGTTCTTCGAATGTAGCCAATGCCAAAGTTCCACCCTCAAGGACTTTCAAGTACATAAATGAAGGTGATTTGGGAGAATACAGTGTTGAGTATTTTGCAGACTATCGTGCCTTACCCATTTACTTATTTCCATTCCAATTATGCTTCTATAACACCACTCCTAATGCCTATACCCTAGCTCTACGAATGGGCCACCGCCGGTCCGAGTCCATAATGAGGTGGGTCTGGGAAGCCAATCGAGGGAGGCCCGTTGGAGAAAACGCCACGTTAGCTTTGGGGTCGGAAGGAAACCTGGTTCTAGCTGATGCTGATGGCACTGTGGTATGGCAAACGGGCACTGCCAACAAGGGTGTGGTAGGGTTGAAGCTGCTAGCAAATGGTAACTTGGCTTTGTATGATAAGAAAGGCAAATTTATTTGGCAGAGTTTTGACCACCCAACAGACACGCTTTTGGTGGGCCAAACCCTGCGATCAAATGGTCCAAACAAGCTGGTTAGCCGCACGTCTACTGCTGATGGCTCCGAAGGGCCTCACAGCTTTGTTATGGAGCAAAGGTATTTTAAGCTGTACTATAAAAGCAAATATTCACCAAGCCCTTTGCTCTATTACAGGTCAGATGAGTTTGGAAATGGCCAGGGTTCCTTAGCAAATCTTAACTTTTACAGCATGCCAGAGACCGAGCAAGCCTATGCTTTTGAGCTGGGGTTCACGTTTGACATGAACAATTCTAGTAGTTCAGGAACACACATTTTGTCAAGGCCTAAATACAATAGCACATATTCCATGCTTCGAATGGAATCGGATGGTAACCTTAAAATCTACACATACAACGAAAATGTTGATTGGGGAGCTTGGGAGAACACATTTAAGCTGTTTGATGGAGACAATCACGAAAGCCTGTGCAAGTTACCGAAGATGTGCGGTTCACTAGGAATTTGCGAGGACAATCAATGTGTGGCATGTCCTAAGCCAAAGGGTTTGCTAGGATGGAGCAAAAACTGCGCGCCGCCGGTGTTGCCGCCATGCAAAGGCGGTGCTAACATAGGTTACTACAAAGTGGTGGGCGTTGAACATTTTTCCAATGCATATGCAGAAGGAGATGGCCCCATGAAGTTGAGTGATTGTAGAACCAAGTGCAGCAATGATTGCGGGTGCTTGGGGTTCTTCTACAGGGAGGAATCATCCAAGTGTTTGCAGATTCCTGAGCTTGGTACTCTGGTCAAGGTGTCTAATCCTGCGCATGTTGGCTACATCAAGATGCCCAAGTAGATTTCTGTTTGGAAACAAGGAAGCTCGATTCTATATAAATGGTTAAAATAAGACAGTCAAACCTTGGTTAATAATCTTGTCCCTGTTATTATGATACTCTCATTTGTTAATTACATCAAAGAATGTGATGTTTTCTAAGCTTTTCATATATGATTTGTTTTATTATGCTGTTCTAATCCTAATCATATTACAATGGAAATGCTGTTACAAGTCTCTTCGTATAAATTTGTGACATCCACAAGCATGGTGGCTGAAACTGTCAATTGAGCCAACTCAGCTCGGGCTAGGAAATATGAACCCAGTGAAGCTAAGATGCTAAACGTGCTGGTAGACAGCCCACGGTGGGTTTAAGCTGGGTTATTAAAAGCCGACGCAACGGAAGCTTTCTCCCCATAATTTCATTTTTATTTTCATTAATTAACTTCTTTAAGACAAGATTTACATCTTTTTTGGTGCCATTGTCTACTCTTCAATCAATAAAGGGAAGAAAAGTCAGAAATATTAATGTTGAAAAAAGAAAATAAAAAAGAATTATATTGGGACTCATCAATTTCAAAATTTGATCCACTTTATTAACGGAATTAAATTTATTATATTATATTAGAAATGTATCTATCCAAATGTCAAATGATTTGAAAAAATAAAATAAATAAAATCTGATTACAGTTGAAGCGAATATCAATTCATTAATAAATGCTCTGAGATGATCGATGCGAAACCTCCTAACTTATTTATTTTCTTCATTCACACGTATATTTAGAAATGGACGGTGAAAGATGGAAATTCATAAACTTCAAGATTGTCTAACAAAGTTACAGCAGATACTTAGGGTCCACGACTAGTAGGTGCAGTGAAAGACAAATGGAGAAGAGAATGGGCCAATCCACGTGGAATGACTGGTCTTTCTGTTAGAGAATTAAAGCCATTCTAAAGAAAAATAAAGAAGTTGGGAATTGAAATATCAGGGTGATCCTGTATCTCCAATCTCCAGTTAGTTCCCTTTCTTTGCTTTTCCTTCGAATTGCAAATTGGCTCTGCCATGGCCCCAGCCCCAGCCCCAGCCCCCGGTTGTTTTGGGAGGGCTGACAGATTTGTTTCAATTTCAATTATCCCCTCAATTTGCGATATGTTTCCCCATAACCATATCATGTCAATCAAGTCTCATAAATTAATGGATCCTATCAGTCAAAGGCTAATAAATAAGCACTACTCCCTCAAAACAAACGTGCTACCCACTTTTGATCAGTTTTCCTAGAGTGGGTGAGGGAGAGGTTGGGGGTTGGATAACAACAGATTAACCAGGCACAAAGGCCCCAGAAATCCTTTATATATATATATATATATATATATATATGTATGTAGCTAGTGACTAGTCTTAGCTACCTAAGAGGGAGGTAGTGTACAGGTTGTTGGTTTGTCTAAAGCATTGCCAATCTTAATTTCTGCAACAGCTCCTTGCACATCTCTTTTCTTATACCATAAAAGATGATCGAATGTTGGAAACCAAAATAGAACTTCAAATCCACCCAAGATATAGAAAATTATTGATGTAGTGGGCATGTAAAGACCATGCAAAGAGAGGAAATTATTTTTTGTCAAATATCTAATGCCATTGGAATATTTTAATTTTGGGGATGAATTAGATAACATTGATTGCAACTAAAGCCTATATCTCACATGAGTAAAACATGAGATCCTTTTCCTTTGCATAATTTATATAATATACTCCTCTGTCCTAGTTTGTACAGGAGGATTACTTTTGACTCACACCAAATTTTAATAGTATTGTGACAGTTTCCTTTTTAACCTTCGGAACCTAAGATAGTGTGAGAATATTTGATATGACCACCTGACATTTTTCTAACTGTTTTTAGGGATATGCTTTTGAAAATTCTTAATGTCTAAATTTGGAAAGTGAAAGAAATATATTTGAACTTTCCAAATATATATACTTGCAGAACCCATTTTTAGATTTAATTAGTAACTAACAATTATAATTTTTTAATTGAATCATCATATTAAACAGCGAGAATGGAATCATATCCTTGTTAATCAAATGATACTCTTGGTTACTCTCATTTTGTGCATTAAAATTTAATGAAGAGCATATAAATAGCATGAAGCCGGTGCATTAATTCATTCCACAAAATCAATTTATGAGTCATGAAGGATTATGTTTTATTGTAGATATTAAATTCCATTTTACACCAAATTAAACAACAGTTAAACATTTTAGAATAAGTGTTTATATGTATATATATATATAATATTTCACAACGATTTATAACATTATTTGACATATTTTTAGTTCTTAAATTCCATCGAGTGTTTTCTTATAATATTTTTATATGTAGATTTGGTACGAATTTCATATTATATAAATAAAGAATGTAGGGAGAGATTTCAGGCACTGCACCTTGCTGGACCATTCATGCCCACTTAATGAGGGAATCAATTGGAAGGGCCCTCCGGTGATGCATGGTAAAAAGCCAAGATATACCCCGAGACATCTGGTGTACTAGAAAGCACTCAAACCAAAACTGACCAACATGGAGAATAACGAGGTTGTCTTTTCCTTCAAGGATCGAGCTATAGTTCTAAGGGAAATTTATCATCAAAATTCTATGAAACTATGCATACATCTTTGAGGCATTTTATTAAATAATTACCCCCTAAATCCCCAAATGTTAGTCATGTCCATCACTCATCCTCTTGCCTTAAACAATTTGCAGTCATTTCTAGATTCAATTGTCATTCATTAAGCAAACGAAGAGCATTTTTCATGCACCAATGATAAATCCTGGAAATAATCCCAGCAGCAAACTTATGTCTATCAAATCCAAATTAATTTAACCACTAATTCCCAGTAAGCAATGGACCTATTCCCTTGTAATAGTCCCTCGACAGGCCTTGCCCTTGAGCAAAAGCCTCCACCACATGTCCTCTGATGTTCAGTTTCATTTTCTTGGTAAAAGTAAGAAGCACAAAACAAACAGGCTATATGGCAGCAATGAAAGGAAACCAGGTATTAGGTTTTCCAATAATAAAAAAACGCTCAAGAAGGTTAAGACGTAAATGTATTTTATCCTAAATTATATAGTATTTTTTTCTTTTACATCTATATATCACTTGTTGCATGATCATCACATGATATTGAAATATGGCAAAGATAAATTGCAATTTCATGTCAGATTTCCTCCCAATCCAATAAATAAAACACTTGGAGAGCAATTTTAATAGCTGTTAATTCAGCAAAGTTTGATTCTTTCATTTCAAGTGGGTTTAAAAAAAAAAATCTAACTATAGAGCCAAATGAATCTCTTAAAGTTCATTCATAATCTGTCAGTCTCGATTTGTTTTTTAGCAAAATCATTCACATTATATTTCAACTTATTTTTAAAAAAAATTAAAAAAAAAACCCCAACTTTGAATTTTGCAATAAGACAAATAGATAAAGAGTCCCATGGATTAGACCACCACCCAAGCTCATCCGAACCACCACTTCCTTCAATTGCCTTGATCTAAAACATAAGTCTTATTTTAATTATAAAACTATTTCTTTTGTTGGTCCCATCTTTTCTCATTAAAATAAAATCATTCGTAGCAAGTTATAAAAATTAAAAAAATAGCATCACACGCTGCTAACTATCTCTTTTTCATGACACCATAGGGAGAATGAAATAACACAAGATAAAAGAAAAATAAGAATTTTATTTTACACGTTGTCTTTGAGAAAATGGGATTGAAACTATGTTTAGAGAGTCTAATTCGGATAACTAAGTTTGATGTATGGCATCTCCCTCTACAATTAGTAGGGCTGGGGCCATAGGATTACTCACGGGAGGCTAAGGCATTTGCACAGTTTTATTGCCTTATTGCCTGCTGCAAAGTCACCTTATAGGCGTCCCTTCCATGAAACATCTGTCCCCACCGCCTACGTGTGGGAATTGAATAATACAAAGCTCAGAGAGATATTTGCCACAGAAAAAGATCTTCTGTGGGTAGGCCTAATTGTGGACTATTGGCAACATTTTTCAAATTCAAAACAAACTAGTTCAGTAAAACTTGTTTGATTCATAGTTGAAGATTGATTGGTTGTTTTCAGAAAGGGATTTTAGGGTTTTAAATCAAGTCAAATAGTGATGAGTACTCCACTTGCTAAACTTTGAATGCTATCAACTGGTTTTCTCATAATGGTACGCACGGCAGAGCCCGTGAATTGTTTGAAACAGAAAGGAGGGTCGAATGAAAAGGAAGGGATCAGAGCTTGCGAAAACATAAAGGAACCAAAGCAAATATATATGTGAGATATATTTTACATATATAGTCCGACAAAAGGTACCTTCATTTTGGGCATCAATAGCTTACAGCATTTTACTTTGGAATCACTCTTAATCATGTGGTTCACACTGCTAACGATTCCCATTTCTCCTTGGAAATGGATTTTGTACTGAGTTAGTTTGTGTTTTTCATTTACCAATTGAGAGCATTATGATTCACGAGTCATGTCTTTTAGCCGAATCCCCATTCATATGAGTTCGGTAACTGCGTTGGGCTACGCTCATGTTCAAAACCAAAGTGCTATAAGCAAAAATTTTCACAAGATGTAACAGCTATTTCAACGAGGTGGGTCAGTTGTTGATTCTTGTCTACAAAGTTATGGCAAACAATTTCAGCTTGGAATCTTGCAATTTCATCGTCACGTTTTCTAGTGATCAGCTTAACTTTGGAGTTGCTCCAAGACAGATTATTGATTAGGAACATGCATGGGCATGGCAAAACGGGGATCGGAATGGGTCATCAATCTGAGAATTTGACTGCCTTTGCCCAAGCATTAATTGTCCCCTTAAACCATGGTCTCTTTGAAGTCAAAAACACTGTTGTAAAAGCAAAATTACCAACGAAAATAGTTGCCAAAATTCTACCAAATCGTGCAGTAAATATGCTTTCTTGCTGAGCCTGCTTTTATCAGTTGCACTAGGCTTACTGCAAATCACTTTCGTGAAAAAGAAGGGTTGGACAGTATCTGACCTGACGACCTTTACAAAATGACCAAATGAGCCTGGGCAAAGCG